CTAAGGAGTTGCATTCTCATGGCTGTGATACTAATAATTTTTAGAGCAAACTGATGACATTAAGGGGTTGTTGTTGTTTTAAAGGTGATATTTTTTAAAGATTCCATGTTTTAGATATGTAGTAAAATATTTGCAGATGAAAGTATATGAAACCTGAGATTTCTTCAGAACAATCAGAGAAGAAAAGAGGGAAAAAAGTAAAAGAGGAAAAAAAGGCTGATCATGAGTTGGCTATTATTGAGATGAGAATATATGGAGTTCATTATGTTATTCTCTCTACTTCTATATTTGTTTGAAATATTCTTTGATAAAAGGGTAATAAAAGGAAAAGTTGCACCATGAAATGCAATTGACTTTAATGGTGGGTTGAAAAAGAAAATCAGGGACAGAATAATTTTATTTCAAACAATCACAAAGACTGGAGAGCCGTGTTGAAGTCAAACCACAAAGAGAATGGATATCGGACTTAAAAAATGGACACTTTTCCTAATGGTCAATGGTGAATAATTGAAGCCTTCTGAAAAATCTGTTAATATGTACATTTTCACTGAAAAACATATTTAAACTTGATTTTACATGTAATTATTTTATCCTGTACTTTCTCAATATTTATTCAATACAAACTGGAGTAATCCAAAAGTATGTGAAAATCCAGCCTTAATATTTTTGTTTATTCAAGTGATTAAAGTAAACACTGTGCAGAGTAATAGCTTAATTTAATTACCCCAGAGGATATTAGAGTTGGTGAAGGACAGACAAGAAAATCTTCATGAGAACGGTGACAAAATTGCAAAATAGAACTAATGAAGTCATAAATAATCCAAAATACAATTGACCTTTAATGTGATGTTTTGATCTGAAGTTAAAGGCTGATTAAGATTTTCATGAACTTAAACTTGAATCTGTGCATCAATTACCAAAAGAGTGTAATTAGAGTCACTTCCTCCTGAGATCTGTGAGGAAATTCCCATCACCATTGATGAGAATTGTGTATAAAGATCATGGGAAGAGCATGGCCCTTGGGTTTCCTCTTAAACAGCCTGTAGATTTGTTATGATTATTTTAATGCACTGGTCCTTGGAGACACTCATTTCAGTTCTGCCTCTACCTTCAATATGCTAAAAATTACAAGTTGGGGGTGGGAGCCCCAAGAGATATAGATACTATTTCTTCTTTATCTATAATTGATTTACTATCAAAGAGGAAATTCCTTGCTCCATAAATACCAAATGTTTAAACAACAACAACAAAATGATTCCAACCAATGGAGGTGGAGAAATGCTGCCCCATGTGCACACAGTGGCTAACAACTTCTCTGGGAGCTAGACTTTTTTTGGGAACTGAGGTCGATTCTGTCACTGTGGTTCTGACATTGGTGCGTCAGAACATTTGGCCAGGTAGGTGTATTTAGAAATGCCTGGAGGCAGGGGCAACAGGATTTTTACTCAGAGAAAGTTTTGAGCCATGGGGCAATTGATGAAGAATTATAGAAGAAATCTGTGATATTGGGAGAAGGTACATCAGGGGGAAAATGAAAGTTCTGTGGATGAGCAGGGTTCTATTCTCTGACCCAGCTCTCTGGGCAACAGCTCTGGGTCTTATAGTTTATCCATTCTACCTCAGTAACTAGTGAGAGGTCTTCACTTTGACTTGAGATGAAAGTTTGTCTTCTGCAATGCTAGCACAGTTTTCCCCTGCAGACACGTTCTATTTCAGAACACTTGGGAGCAGAATCGGCACCTATGTTGCCTATAAATTTCTGCTTCTTCTTTTAGAAAAGGAACACATCAAGTTACTTTTGCCAGATGGTAAATGTCAGCCATGGTAAATGTTCAATATATATTACTGGATGAATAAATAAATACTAGACATGCGAAACCAACATTAACTTCTGGGTTTAAAATGTTTCCCTTTACACGTTGTAGTATTTTACACATTTCACCATTTGACAACAAACCAACGGCAGGTGTCAAGGAACCAGGAAAAGCAGATATAAGGCATCAGGAAGTAGGCAGATATAAGGTCTCTGTTGTAGAATTTTTAAGAGACCACATTCATGTTGTATAGCTTTTTTGGTTCTAGATAACAAATATAATGCATTGAATTAGTCATTTACTAAGAATATGATTAATTTCAAGGCAGTCCTTCATTTCAAGCTTCTGTGCTGGGCAGATGAATGCAACACTTTTAAGCCCTTTACACATATTAACTCAATCTTTGCAACAACTTGTGAAGTAGGTACCACATCATTCTGATTTTATGTATGTGGGAAATGAGGCACAAAGAAATTAGTTGGCAGTTCTCTTATGGAGCATGCCCTTGCTTTCCCCACCCTTTCCTTCCAGGCTCTTTCTCCGAAGCTCCAAGTGGCCTTCTTTTGTCTGTTTCCTGAGCCCATTTCTTCTACAGTCTTCTGTGATTTTCTAAATAAACTTTCTCCTAAAGTTTGTCTTGGCTCTGAATTCATTATGACCGAAGGAAGAAAAGAAATTTTGTCAAGCCCTCACAGAGGCTAAGTGTTGAGGTGATAATTTAAACTGAGCGAGTCTACTGCAGAGTCTATTTCCTAACCACTATGTTATACTTCTCAAGACATGGCACTTGAGCAGAGACCTAAATAATGACAGGAGACACCTGTGGGCCTTTCTGGGGAAAGTGCTCCAGGTAGAAGCAAACCCAAGATATAAAAGCATGTAGGGCTCTGTTTCGAAGAAGAGCAGGATCAGTGTGGTATCGAGTGGGAATGCTTACAAGGAAAGAGAGTGATTTCTGGGCCTTGGGAAGGATTTTGGTTCTCATTTTTAGAAAAATGGAAAGCCATTAGAGGGTGTTAAACAGAGCAATGTGATTTATGATGTACTCTAGAATTATACACTTGAAAAACATGTGACTTTGTTAACCAATGTTATCACAATCAATTTAATAAGAAATATTGTGGCTGCTGGATGAAGATTAAGCTGGAAGCAGAGAAGCTAAATAGCTAATATAATTCAACGTGTCAAAATTATACACACACCTATTAGAGTCTTATTTTCTAAAACTAAACTACATAGTTCCTAAATATGCTTAGCCAGTTAAATATATTTTAGCAAAAAATGTTACAAATCATAGCATTACTCTAAAACATTTGTAGACTTTGAGCAACTGTCGATGTGATCTTTGTTTGATGTGGCTATCACTAGCTAAATGATGTCCCTGTCTGAGACATCCTTGACACAAGAGGCCCATCAAACTCTCTCACTAACTGTCCCATTACTTGGATGGTCCTCAGGCCCTTGGCACCCCACATTTGGTTGCATCTGGTAGGTGGCTGGAAAACTATCCAGGTTCTATAGCTAAATTTGCCCTTGGATGCCCAGGCATTCTTTGCCACCTGGACTCAGAAATCCTTCATCTCAGCCCCACTATGTCCCAACATTGCCTCCCCTGCAGCCTGGGTCACCCTCACAGATGAGCTGCCACTGAACAGCAGGCAGGCACTTGCACACACTCTTATTGCCGGTGTGGCAGCTGCCTTACAGGACTGCTCAGCTGCCCAGGGGTGGGAGTGGAAGACCTGCATCTGTGCCAGAACTCAGGGGTCTGATGCCCACCCCCCTGTAGTCACTGTTGGGGGAAATTTTATTAAAATAGACTTTTCTTTAGCAACCATACAGAAGTGCTTCAATATTTTAAGAATTGATACAGTTGCATTCATCTGTTCTGGGTAGTGAGCACCCAGCTGGGAAGTGGCAGAGGTAGAGAGAACAGGTCATGAAATGGTTGTATTTTGAAGGTAGACCTAACAGGTTTTGTTAATAGATGGCATGTGAGGTAAGAAAGGTGTCATGAATGACTGTCAGATCTTGGCCTGAGTCACTGGAGGAAGGCTTTGTTACAGAAAAGGAAGCATTTGGTTTAGACACCATACGTTCTAGATAAGTGTTAGATATTCAAATGGGGTTTCTGATACCTGTTTGATGTATAAGTCAGTGTTGAAGGAGTGCAGGAGGCAACCAGAGTGGTTAGAAATATTCAGAAATGACGAATTCAGTAAACTAATAATTTCCATTCCTTGGGTTGTAACACAAGTCTTTAAGACAGGATTTGAATATATGTTTGATTCAGTGTCATGTCTCTCCTGTTTCAATGTCCATAAATAAAGTAAAATACAAAATACAAAATATGCATAAAAAGCTACTCAAGAGCTCGGTTTTTTGATGTTTGCTCATGTGGAATACACGAATTAAGAATAAATCCATAGTTTATTGGCCTACTACCTTTCTCTGGGCCCCTGTCCTTCCCTGGAAGATGCAGGAGCAAAAGATGATTTACTAGAACTTTGACAGGAAATATCACATTAGCAATTGAGGTAAAGCTAAATTTATATATGCCAGGCTTGAATTCAGATCTTTTTGGGAAGTAATGTGTAGTTTTAAGATGGGGAGATGGGAGAGTCAAAAAGTTACGAGAATTTCTATGACACATCAGGTTCAGATAGAAAGCCTAGAGAACATTTTAAAACTTGGGATGAAATATTTCAATAAAATAAAAATAAAACAGAAAGCCTAGTTTTCTTAAGACAACAACCTCTAGGAGATAGAGATAGAGATAGAGATAGATAGATAGAGATCGATCTTAGAGGTGTTATCGCTATATGCTATCTCTTTCCCTTGCCTCTAAAAATGTATTGTTTTTCCTTGAGATTAAATCAGGGATAATTTTGTAAAAGAAGAATCACAAAACCACAGTGAATACAAAGAAAATATTTTAATAAAATATTCAATACAACATTTCCCTGTGGGGACTCTTATGCAGAAGTGAGAAGGTGAAGGAAATGAGTATCATTGTTGGGAATCCAGTCTTAAAATGAGACGGGAATGTTCTTAGCTTTTCTCCTAAGCTTGTTCCCAGTTCTGCCAACAGGCTGCCGTGAGGAACCAGGAAATCTCCAGAGGTCATTGTAAAGGGCAAGTGGGTGAACAGATAGAGCTCAGCGGTTTTTGCCTCGTGCTTTTTACCAGGTGCAGTGTCATGGGAAAGGAAAAGGCAACATAGTGGTTGATATACAAAAGATGCTAATACAGTTTTGCTTCCTCTCCCCCTCCTATGCTATTTGTATTTCCAGAATGAACAACAGTGGGTTCATCCACTAAGTGTTCAAACAGAATCCTTCCTTGGCCACCTTCTCTATTTAAGGTCCATTCCTATTAATGTGATCGTGTTTCAGACAGAGAGGAAATGAGAGCATCCTATTCTTTACACATAACTTAAGCGTATCACTGCACATATTGCATGTGTGAAACAAGTATGAGCCACGAATCCTCCCCCTTGTGTGTTACTGCTTTGTTGCTAAAAGAAAGTGCTGTTGTTTGAATATGAATATCATTTAGTGCATTAAGATGTACAGTCTGGTAGTGCCCTGCCTACAGAGTCCACACTTGATACAACGCCTTCCTTGGGGCCATCTTGCTGTCATGATTCTGGTGTGCTTTGATTTCCTTCTGGAGTCATAAACTGCACCTTTGGCACGATGAGGGACGAGTTGTTCCTCCGGATAGAGTTGTTCCTCCTCATGGAATTATTTCTTCTCATGGAGTTGCGCTTCCTCAGGGAATTCTGATGGGACAGTTCACTCTTCTGGAGGGTCTGGATGAGGATGGAAGGCTTCTCGTCCAGCTCTCGGGCGCTGCACCGGGGAGCAGCTACTTTCACAGTGTTGCCAAACTTGGAGTAATCCACAGAATACACTCCCTCCTCCTCCGTTACAATAGACACGAAGCGATGGCCCCACTGGATCTCCTCGGCGATGTAGGAGGTTCTGGCTTGCGTGGTGATGCCGGTGGTCTCCACCACTCCTTCCAGGATCACTATGACCTCCAGGTCTTGATTGGCCAAGTCCGTGGCTGAGATTTCATACAAGGGGCTGCGCTTGTCAATCACATGGCAGATTATCAGAGGGGCCACTAGGAAAATGTTATTGCTCTCAATAGGGTTATCCACAGGAATGTCGAGCTGGTGAATGGGCACCACCTCCCCCTCCGGGGTGGTGGTCTTCTTGACCACCTGGATGCGCACCGAGGCGCTGATGATCATGCTCTTCCTCAGGTCGCCCACTCGGAACATGAAGCATAGCTTGCCATTGCGGACCGCAATTACAGCATGGCGACTGAATATCAGCGTTTCTGCCCTCCTGTGAGCCTGAGCCGTTTTCATGAAAATGCAGCCCAGCATGACCGCATTGATGATCAAGCCCACGATGTTCTGCAGAATCAGAACTGTGATGGCCAGAGGGCATTCCTCTGTCATCATTCTCCCTCCAAACCCAATGGTCACTTGAACCTCAATGGAGAAGAGAAAAGCAGAGGCAAAGGACCTGTAAGAAATAATATCAGGAAATAATGCCCCATCAGACCAAATTTGGAATAGAGAAATAACATACCAAGCTATATATGACATTATTTTTCTAGGACAAAGGTCCAAACTGAATTTGTCATTTTCTTCCACCAAAGGCTGTTACATGCCTTTGAAAAGATGAGCCAACTTCACTTGTCAAATGCTTGATTCTAAACACAAGCACTTGTGTTCTTTCTCTTTTCTGCATACATCTACTTCCAGACTTCTAGGATACCATATTACAATGTTTTCTAGGTCATGTAGTAATCGGCCTACGAAAGCTTTAATATAGTAAAAATACATGTTTGTAGGAATATTTTAGTTTGTGAAATAATGTACTTTCACAAAGGCATAGTTTACTTTGTGAAAATTTTTACCAGGTAGATGTTTATTATTTATTGCATGGCTGTGATTAAGTGACTTGAGTATTAAGGAAGGTACTGAGTAGTGAGTGTACTTATCACTCACTGCCTTTGACTCATAGTCACTAGCTAACATTGACTGTATGTTCCTCATATACAGGAAGCACAGTGCTAAAAAGTGGTGAGAAAAGTATTTTAAAAACTACTGTTTTCAATTCAAAAGAATGTTTTGCCATTTGGAAAGAAAAATGTGTTCTTACTGATTTTCTTATTTTGTTCTGTACATGATCTAGAGAATGCTAAAGCTAGTAAAGGGAGAATTCAAAGCAGAGATGAGCAAATGACTGTATCAAGATCACAAAATTAATAACAACTCGAATCCTCTCAATTCTGGCCTCATGCTTTGAAAGGGCAAAGGGAAGGGATCAACAAGTGTCAGGATTTTCTAGGGGAGCTTTTGCAAAGTGGGTATTTCTTCTGGATCTCTATGAATTAAACACTGATTTGGTAGCTTTAGGGTGGACCTGGGTAAGACTCTTTTAAAAAAGCTCTCAGGTGATGCTGATTTATCCCCCTGGTTAGAAGCACTGCATTTCATTATTCTTATCATTAATTTATTCACTTAACTGCATATCCATTACTGCTGTAGCTTCCTATTAGAAATAATGTTAGTCCTGTGTTCCCCTCAACTCCAATTTCAAACTTCTCTAATTTTGTAGAAGATAAGCCTCCTGTCAAAGTATTATCTATCTGCTGCTTCCACACACAAAGAGTGAGCAAAATGTTTAAGCATTTGAATGCTGTGTATCTACACTGCACTTTGGTGGGGCATCATGAGGATTCTTTCTATTAGCTTTTCGGTGGAACATGCAAATTTCCCTTTTCATCCTTTTTGCTACTAAAAAGATTCATGGAAAACCACAGTAGTTGCCTTTCCCACTAATTGCACACAAAACATATTATATGATCTAAAAAGATGGCAACAGCCTGGCATGGTTTAGTGGTTGTGGTTTGATTCCCAGTCGGAGCGCATGCCCTGGTTGCTGGCTCGATACCCAAGTGTGGAGGGCGTGCAGGAGGCAGCCAGTCAGTGATTTTCATCATTGATGTTTTTATCTCTCTCTCCCTCTCCCTTCCTCTCTGAAATCAATAAAAAAATATATGTTAATAATAATAAAAATAAATAAATAAAAAGATGGCAACAGATAAGAATGGACCCCAGAGGAGGGACATGGGCACAATATTGATTTCTAATAATATATACACACTTTGAAGAGCAGCCTAATGATGACTATCTTTAAATGTTTGGTTATTATGGCTTGCGAGGCTATTCAGGGGCTAATAATGTTCACTGCTTATTTTACAAAATAATTTAATTCTAAACATTACATAGTGCAAGACCCAACCTTTCATGGACACCTGTCATGCAGCTAAACAACCTCAAGAGATGAAAGTATTTAGCTGCTTGTTTGTTCTACAGCAGAGGATGTTAGGCTGAATAATAGAGGAAATATGCTGATTAATTTCCTGACTCATGTCAGAGAGCTGTCCCGCATAAAAGGGAAAGTGAGCCATTCTAAAACGGGAATGGTAAAATGTTATTTGGACATACCAGCGAGTATGCATCACAATAAGTTGTTTCCAATTATGATCATATGGTAAGAAAACGGGCTTATAAGAGACAGGAGATGCAAAGAATTATAAATGTTATTAGTCATCTTTTAAACCCTCTTTGGGAGAGAATAGAAATTTTTCTGTTTCTATATTTTGGGTAAAAATTTGTTATTATATATGGTTTGTTATGATTAAACTGTGTGTTGAGATTAAAGTATCAATAGCATAACACTGGTAAGATCTTAACCTTAAAGATGTCAAAAAAATTTTTAGATAAAAGGGCAATTTAAAAGGCTAACAATATTATGCTGATAAAATCAATTTTGTTTAACTATATTTTTTACACCATTTCTCATACTTAATGTTCACACCAGCAGGAATACATCAGGGGAATAGTCATGCTTCAAAACACTTCTTGTTGGAAAATGAGAGCTAGAGTAAAAGAGCTTCTTGCAACTAGTGTGCTCTATAAAGTTCTCAAAAAAAAAAAATCATTCAAAAGCTATCACTTTTGATGATTCCCCCAATTGCTTAATGACTCCTTTAAAAAAAATAAATAAGAAAAGCCAATATATTTATCTCATAAATATGTCAAGGTTTACCGTTTTTACTTTTTTATCTTTTTTGAGTGCCTACTGCATATTTATTAAAAAGGTCCCCTAATATGAAAACGATTCACCAATATAAATGCCAATAAATATCTTAAAGAGAAATACAGATAATGATATTTAAGATACCTGTTAAACACAGTATTTTCAGTATTTCCTTTATATCTGGTGTACTGATGATCTCCTATATATTTTCACCTTTATTTTTTATTTGAGACAAGTTTTTGACAAGTTTAAGGCAAGAAAATATCTACTCAATGGTAAAGGCAATTAATAAATTCCATGCAGTTTTCTTTCCTCAAAATCCAAGCTGGGATATGTGGAATGTGATCTCTGCACACAAATCCCTCCTTGGCATGCTGGCATTGCAGACACTCAGGAAATGGGAGGGTGGCAAGCCCAGAGTCTAGGTCTCTGCTTCTTGCAGTGGTATGCCAGTTTCCTAAGACGTCAGGGTCAGTAAAGGTCTCATTCTTTACAATTTCCTGGCTGAATGGTGCTTGCTCAAGTTGCTTTGCTTGATGCATTATATGAATTCGAAATATCATTCATAAAGTGTCCTGGGAAAGTTTCTACTATTACCACTAGTGTTTTGCTTCAGAATGTACATTTTTTGAAAGTGATCTAAATTATCTCTTTCCATCTCCCAACAACAACAACAACAACAAAAAAAACTAAGTGATAAGTCATCCCAACTAAATGTTCTTAGGCCACGTGAAAATATGAGAGAAGATTCACTGAAATCAAGTTCCCTGGACTTATCTTTGAAATACTTATAAGAGAAAGAAGCAAAAATTAGGCAATCTAAAAAGTGTCTTTTATCCTATTAAAAGTTTTGAAGAAAACCACAACATGAAGTCACTTCTACATAATCTCTTCCATGAAAACATTGGACTAATTTCCATTTAAAATGAATACCTTATAGTTCTGAATCTTAGCATAACTTTTCATTTTGGAATTCAATGCAAGCAATCAGCTATTTAAAACACTCTTGTTAAAGATGGGTTTATATTTATTCAGTTCATTTTATGGATTTCAAATCGAGGACACCTCTCCACCAGTGTCTTCCCATTTTTCTCATTATTTCAGAAAATGTCATGGGTGAGAGAAGTCATGGAAATATATTACTAGCATTTGCACAATATCTTTTCCTGATTCAAAGATATCTGCTTGTGAACACTGGAAATATGGACAGCAGCTTTTTCAGACTGAAAACTAAATATGTGCTTTATTATTATTAGTAGTAGTAGTAAGCACTCTGTAGAATCCTTTGAGCCACAATTATTTTTTAATAATTGGCCTGGGATTTTCAAGGCTAGCCCATGGGATTGGAGCTGCACGTTTTCAGAGATGCCTCATCCAGAAAGCCACATTAAACAAAGATTTTTAAAATATGTTAGATTAGCTTTGTTGCTTCTGAAGGTACTAAAGCAAATCCTTTATTTCACTGTCAATAAACTGGAGTGAGAAGAGAGCAGTTCCATATATATATATATTTTTTTTCTTTTTCTTTTCTTCTATACTGTTTTTGACCCCTGCTTCACCCCACCGCATTCTTACCTGACATTAGTCACACACACAGCGGAGTCCACGCCACTCTTCTCCATCCCGCTCTTCTCCATGTAAGCATAGATGTCCCCGTGGGCAAAGGCCACCAGCCACCACATGATGGCGAAGAGCAGCCAGCTGCAGAGGAACGACATGGTGAAGATGACCAGCGTGTGGCGCCATTTCAGGTCCACCAAGGTGGTGAAGATGTCCTGGAGGAAGCGGCCCTGCTCGCGAATGTTCTTGTGCGCCAGGTTGCAGGCCCCGCTCTTGGCGATGAAGCGGGCCTTGGCCAGGCGGTCTCGGATGCGCGGCTTGCGCAGGTTCTCCGCCGCGATGCGCGCCAGCACATACTCCTCGGGGATGATGCTCTTTCTGGCCAGCATGGTCCTGTCACCATCGCCAGTCTAGCCACCTGCCTCGGATCTGCCTCTCTCCCGTCCTCCTGCAAAGGAAAACGATAATTAAAAACATGCAATCCCCCCCCCACACACACACACAACACACACACACACACACACACACACACACACACACACACACCACACCCCTTCCTCGCCTCTTCAGTCCTTGCATGTAGGGCTCTGTTTAATGCACTTGGAGGTGACATGCAAAGCTAATGGTAGGATTTTATTAATCTTCACACGGACTTAGTTTGGGCTTCACTGCTGGGATCCCAGGGACATGAGTTGGTTCGAAGCAGAACTCTTAAGATAGCCCTTATCATTTGGAACACGGATGGGTATAATCCTACTGAAGCAAAACGCGGAGGCTGTGCACAGCAGGTTCAATGAGAAACCTCGGAGATGCGCGGCGTCTGTAGATTAGCGCATGCATGCAAGCACGTGGCGGCGTCTGGAGCGAAAATTAGGGCCAGATGGGCATCGCGGTCTATCGACTCAAGTATTTACACGATCGAGCGACATAAAAAAAAAGTGGAGAGGGGGGAAATTCTTCCCTCGTTATTTTTAGAAACGGGAGAAGAGGCCGTGGTCTCTGGCGCAGTGCAATAACGCTCCGTGCCCCTGGACAAAATCACGAGCGCTGTGCCGTGCACGGGAACATGACGGACAAGCCTTTTACATCTGAAAGAAGAAGGAGTTGCATTTAAACATACCCCCTCCACGGACACTCCTGATATTATAGATTGAAAACTTCTTTGCGGCGAAGGAAGCAAACACATACAAGCTGCAGGGAAAACCCGGAACCTTAGCCCGCGCGGGCTTGCAGATAAGAGCTGAAAGTGTGCCCCGCAGCAAAGTCCACCCCACACACAACGCGAATCTCGGCTGGGTTTTTGCATTTTAAATCTTTTCCGCAGACCGCCTCCCGGCGCGCTCCCGGGACGGAGCGGGGAAACTTACAGACTCGGCGCGGCAGCGGGCGCGGCGGCCGCCCCTCCCCGCAGGCGCCGGCGGACCGCGGGCAGGTCCCTCGCGCTCCCATCCCCGCGCGCCGCAGCCGGGATCGCCGCCGCCGCCGCCGCCGCCGGAGGGACAGGTCCCGGGGCGCGTGTCCTGGGAAGAAAAGTTAAAATAACAAAAGGTGCAATTGCATCTGGACGCGGAAAGGGCTGGGGGAAGGGGGATGGGTGTAGATCTTCCCCTCCCCCTGCTCGGGCTCTGCTCCCTTGGCCCCCGCCTGGGCGTAGGAGGGGCTGGGGGGGAGGGAGGGGAGAGGAGCTCGGGGCGGATGATGCTTCACAAACCAGTCTCCCCGTTGGGGCTCTGACGCGCGGCAGACCTCGGAGGCCGCCGCGGTGGTGGCGTGGGGGCCGGAGAGGCGGTGGGGCGGTGGTGGGGGGCGCCTCCGGGGGAGGTGGGGAGCAGGCCGGGGAGAGGGACAAAGGTAGGAGGGCGGGACCTGCAGACCCGCTCATTTTCCAGTAGCTCTGACCCTTGCCGCCGGGCCTGACACGCTCTTCTTTAAAAGGCTCCCTGCTCAGGGGAGAGAACTTTATGAGGCTAAGTTCCCTGACGCAAAGAGGCTTTTGTAATGTTGGCGAATAACTGGACTGCTTAAGGTTGGATAAGACCAGATATAGAGATAAGAGAAGTAGCCTTTGGAGGCTTTCAAGCTGTGAGCACACACATTTAATTGATAGTAAATTTCCGTCTAGTAAGAATGATACAGGTGGAAAATGTTCTGAAAACCATCATAGCAAACTAGCCAAATCATCTAGCTCTCAGGAAATCGCGCGCGCGCGCACACACACACCCACACCAAGTAGAAGAAATAATAATAAACAAAACAAAACAAAACACTTGAGTGTCTTCCAGTGAGAGATTTTACCCCCAACAGGGACCACTGTCAGCACTTTAAAACTCAAACGGTCCCTCCTCAGTACTTGGTTGCTTTCTGAAATGCTGCAGCTTCTCCGTATTGTCGAGATGGTCTGAGTGGTCAAACAGAACAATTGTGCAGGAGAAAGGTTATGCATTAAATACGTTCCTATAGCTTTTTGAGCAGGAGCCAGCAAAGACAAATGGCTTCCTCCGCAGGTCAAGCCTCCTGGTTTGGCACTTGTCTTAATGGAAACTTTAATTCTTGGAAATTTCTTGTATTTTCCAAGACCCAGGGCAGAAAGTGTATGGAGCATAAACAGTGTGTTCATTTAGTTATCAAAAGCTCTAAAATTAGTCTTTAATGAAGGCAAACAAAAAAACATTTCTCCCCCCTTATGGATAGAACTGTTTAACCCCTTCAAACCCGAGGGTCCTCGTCTGACAGTGGTAGCTCTACTGTCGCTAACTTTTACAGTAAATAGTGTGGTAGTTTTACTGCAAATGGGTGGGGATCAATTTGTATCATTAATGCCCTCATTCTATTTTACAATTGCATTTGGTACTACATCTGCCCTATTATTTTAGCTTGGTCAACATTCAATAAATGTCTATTTTGTGGAGGTTTTTGATATATATATATATATATATATATATATATATATATATATATATATATCATAGTTTCTGTTCTTAGAGAGGCAGGCAGCTTATAGTACAGAGAGATAAGCCCTGGCTGGTGTGGCTCAATTTTATAGCATTGACCCTGGCATTGAAGGGTCTTGGGTTCGATTTTCTGGTCAAGGGCACCTAGCTGGGTTGCAGGTTCCATTGATCCCTGGCCTCTCTCTCTTTTCATACTGCCCTCCCCTTCCACTATCTCTAAAAAAGGAAACCAATGAAAAAAATACCCTTGAGGGAGAATTAACAACAAAAAACAAAACCAAAAAACAAAAAAGAGAGAGACAATACTTTTAAAATAATCTCTAATACAAACAAGTATGTGATTAGAAATGCCAGAAAATTTAAATGGGAGTTATTGAGACTAACGATATTGAGAAAACTTCATGGATTATTTGGCATCTAATCTAGTCTTTGGAGGACCAGATATATTTGGGGTATATAGAAAAACAGAGACATTCTAAAGAGAGGAAACATCATGAAAAAAAGTTAGAGTATTGACAAGAGTGGTCCATGTTTTAGTAACAAACTAATTTAATCTACATTGATGAAGCCCGATCAGCAAAATAGCAGTATTTTTTTAGTCCAATCCTCTCTGGGAAGTTTCCATCACTCCCACTCTTAACATATGATGGGCTACTCATATACTTGTCCCTTCACCTCCACACACAAAACCCATGAAACTAAGGGCTTCTGAAGAGCAGGGCTGTGACTTGCTTAGCTTTGTAATCACAGATCAAATTACAGAGGTGTTCAAAGAATCCTTGGGAATCAATGAGTGGGAAGATAAGGTTGAAAAGCATGTTGGGACCTTGAAAGAAAATGCAGACAACCTTACTGTAAATGCTGAATAAAGGACCTGGGCAATCTTCAGTAGGTAATAGTAAGCCATAAAAAGAGTTTGATTAAAGAAAACATGCCCTCCCTGGTTTGGCTCAGTGGATAGAGTGTCAGCCTACAGACTCAAGGGTCCCAGATTTGATTCCTGTCAAGGTTTCTTACCTTGGATGAGGGCACACACCAAGGAGGGGGTGTGCAGGAGGCAGCTGATTGATATTTCTTTCTCATCAATGTTTCTAACTCTCCCTTTCTCTCTGTAAAAAAATCTATAAAATATATTGAAAAAAAGAAAGAAAAGAAAACACACTTAGGGACTGCTTTAAGAGGAATGAACAGGAAGCAGAGTCTCCAGAATACTGTGATTGGCAGAAAGAAGGGTTCATACTGGAAGTTATTACATTAATTATAGAAGGAATAAATATATACACAAATATATATTTATATCTATTTCTCTGTTGCTCACTGATAATACATTAATATATTGTTCACCAATATTGTCAGTGAACAATAGACAAATATATACAAAAGAAATGATATACAGAATCAATATTGGGAGGGGAAAGTCAAAGGTGATGGGATATTAATTCAGTAGACAAATACAATAGGAACATTGAAATGAGAAGAGATGAACTGCTGAAAAGAATTATGAGATTTGCAACAAGTAAATCTATATCTAAATTCTATGAAAACGCTGTTATTTTGCTATAATGTATGCACAGAACTCAATATTTTCCCCTAATGATATATATTCTCCCAAGTATGCTATTTTAAATCATTTTGACTTGTTTTAAACTGATAAGCTATACCATACTTTTTTTAAATAATATATTTTATTGCTTTTTACAGAGAGGAAGAGAGAGGGATAGAGAGTTAGAAACATCGATGACAGAGAATCATCGATCAGCTGCCTCTTGTACACTCCCTACTGGGAATGTACCAGCAACCAAGGTACATGCCCTTGACTGGATCGAACCTGGGACCTTTCAGTCCGCAGGCCGAAGCTCTATCCACTGAGCCAAACCTGTTTCGGCTATACCATACTTTTTATTAGTCAATAATGTAAGCTTATTAAATAAAAATAAGGACATTAGCCCTAACAAGTTTTGCTCAGTAGATAGAGCTTCGGCCTGCGGACTGAAAGGTCCCAGGTTTGATTCCATTAAAAGGCATGTACCTTGGGTGCGGGTACATTCCCAGTAGGGAGTGTACAAGAGGCAGCTGATTGATATTTCTCTCTCTCTGTAAAAAAATCCATAAAAAATGTATATTTAAAAAAAAATAAGGGCACTAATACATACAAAATAAAGGTCAAATTTTAAGACGTTAAGAAGTAAATTTTGACAATAGAATGCCTAAAAAGAAATAGCCATATAGAAAAGGTATGAATGTGTACTATAAAAATATTATAGGTTTTCTTTTTTCTTTTCTCTTTTCAACTCTTTATGTGTTTTTCTTTTAACTAGTGTTTCCGCACTGGGTGGAAGCTGCATGAGCACAAGTTGTTCATTGTTATCACCACACACCCAGGATCTGGAATTATTCCTGAGTCTGAGAAGTAGGTCCTCAGTAAATATTTGTCAAAT